CCCCCAAGCTGGGTCAAGATAACCCCACGATGGGTCAACATAGCCCCAAGATGGGCCAACATAGCCCCCAAGATGGGCCAACCTAGCCCCAAGATGGTTGCCGAAAACCTGGGTTTTCCATTGGTTTTTCTCCGGTTTTTTGCGTTTCCTCTTTGTTTGGGCCAACACAGAGGCAAGATCGGACGACGTATGTCTAAGCTGGGCCAACAGAAGGTCAAGGTGGGGCAGCAGAGGGCAGCAACAACCACAATCACCACCACAACCACGTACAGCCCCTTTTTCCCTGCCCCCTCCCCTTTGCTTGGGCCCCTGGCCGGCTGTCGGGCGTAAGCCCTTAAATATTGATGGTGCGACTACCTCCACCGCCGAACAGCCCACTCAATGTTGCCGCCAAGCTGCTTCATGCCTGCGCGCGCTGCGTTTGCGGGCGTTCTGAAGACAGCGTGGGCCCTTTATTGTATAGGCACAGTCCAAAAATCACAAAAAATTATGAACAGGGAGAACTTGAACAGTAACTAGGTACAGCGGCAAAGCTAAGCTCTTGGTTCAGTCTGTGGATTTCCATGCTAACAGTGGCCATCTCACAGCTACCGAGTCACTGTACCTTCGCCATCCTTCACCCCTGTTCATCTTCCTTCTCTTCGTATGCATCTTTGGGTACAAATGCGTGTCTTTTTGCGTGGGTGGCCGATGCTAGCAGTGGGCAAGGTAAAATAACACATCTCACTCACACTACACTTTACACCGTAGATTGCTTGGTACATCTTCCCTTAGACCAATCAAGTGCGAGCCAGGTACATGCGGTGAGCTTCTGGATGCGCTTCTCTTGTTCGTAAATCTTCTCTTGCATCTCACAGACTTGCTGCCCAGTGCAAATGAGCCTGCAAAAGGCATAAGAGATTGCCATCAGTGACTGCCCAAAAAGAACAATTGTCAATTGTCGTACATGGAATGGCCTGCAAACGTTTGATGTCGAATTTGCTGGGCACAGGGCATAGGCTGCTTCGTTGGATCACATTCTGCTCTTACACCCCGTCTTCAGAATTTTCTCAACCTTTCAGCATCCACCCAGTGAAGCAACATTGCCATGGAAAAATATACTGTAGGCTATTCGTGCCTGGATGCCCGGATGTTGTTTAGTGACCAGGGAGTCGAAGCCAAGCACAGCTTGCTGGGTTCCTTTGGTCCTTCTGATACTTGGAGGCCAGTGGCCAGTGGCACTTGGAGGGTCAAACCGCCGCTGAGCAGCTCATACTGGACCGCTTTCCGCGTCTTGAGCTCCTGCAGGAGCTCTTGCTGGGCCTTGGCCTGGCGAAGAGCTGGTTTTGCAGAAACGTCCTCGACTGCCTAGGCCCTAGGCGTGATGGTCCCCATCAAGCCCCTGAATAGAATAGATTCGCTCTGACTCTGCCCTAAAGTTCAGCCCTAAAGTGCAAAAAAGTGGCTCTGGAAATTGGGGACCTGGAATCAGAATGCATCCTACAGAAACACGCTGACACCCTAGGCTAACGAATACCTCAACCATATGAACACCCTCCGTTCAGCGACGATGCGATGCGAGGTCTGAGGGGCGGTCCACATCCGACTCCTCTCGTTCCTGCGGGAGTCAAGGAAGCCGCTGGAAGCAATATGCCCTATTGGCTGGTGGGCCAGCATCAGCACCACCAACTCTCAGTTCAGAGTGCGTTCACCTCACCAACCCGTTTGCTGGCTGGACAGATCACGAGCCGCTCCTTTTGCAGCAACTTGTTCTGAGCCTTCTCCAGCTCCATCTCCTGGGCCCCAAATCACGGGAAGCAGCTCCCCAACGCAACAAATGTCCACCAAAACCATGCACACAAAACGGACGCCGGAAACCGTTTTCGTTTGGGCAGGCGAAATCACGCTGGACATGGCAGTCCAAATGCATTTAGGTTTCGATTGGCCAGTGAGTGACCTCCTTGATCCTCTTTGTGGCCACCCCATGTTGCTTCAAGTGCCCCACGAACATACCAAAAACACACCAAAGCTATTGAAAGTACTGAAAGTTTAGACATGTCCTTGCTATCGACTCCTTCCTTTTCTGGCTGATGAAAACTTGGCGTCCCAGCTAAAGACTTGACTCGAGCCTCGAGCTGGGTGATCCGTACCTCACTCAAGAGTTGCCGCTCTGAAGTGTCTGCAGATGTTTCCTTGGACCCAAAGGAGTTGATTCACTTCTAAGAACCGTGGAAGTGAAACCTGCGAATGCCCGGAAGAGCGGAAAAGGCCAGGGATCCTGGCAATACAAACTGGGCTTCTCCCTGCGTTTGGCGACGGAGCCATGCTTTTATTCTTGCACCAATCAGGCTTCAAGTCTCCCATCCAGCCTCTTTCTGCTCGATCAATTTCTCGTGGCACGCCTGCATCCCAACCCCTTAAAGGAGCCCCATGAGCCCTTGGCACCGGAATTGGTGCACAAGTGATGTCGATCGGATGGATGTGGGCGTTGTTCTTGTCAATGTCAGGGTGCACCCTGTGATATCCTGTGATCATGCATATGAGTCATACGAGCAAGATAGCTTCGAACGCTCAACATATCAGGCCTTGAGGTTGTCCTCATCACAGCAGGAATCCACAGTGGACTCTTCCTGTGCCGATCTGTGCCGCAAGTTGGCAAGTGAAGGCTGGAATGGCTGGAAGTTACTTGATGCTTGCGCATCCACAGCATACCATGAGATTTTCCTAGCATAGGTTGGAGGCCATCGCTATTAGGTTGGAGGCCATCGCTACTAGGGTGGAGGCAATGGCTATTAGGTTGGAGGCCTTCGCTCTTGTTAGGGTGGAGACCGTCGCTCTATTCGGGTGGAGGTCATCGCCCCTGCTCTGCTTCTCCCCAACGGGGCGCCACACCGACTCCATCCGAGGCTTCGCCCGGACTCGACGGTGACCGCAACGGCACCGGTGACGCGTGCACCGGATTTCGCTGATCCAAGCTGAGCCCAACGGCGACCAGCCACTGGAGGGAACGTGCCACTGCAGGGAACGTGCCACTGCAAACATTCTTTTTTGAGGCGGAGCATTCCTAGAAGGGTTGGAATTTCAAGGAATTCTGCTTGGGAACTGATCCGGCCAAGGTCTCTGATGATCTCCACAGGTAGTAGACGGTTGGTTTTTTGCATGGATCCAACTGCTTTCTTCGGTCAGGACCCTTGTGGAGGGACGTTTTTTTGCGCCCAACTCCTGGCAGCCATCACGTTGATTCGCAATGGGTACCACTCCGGAAATGACGAACAGGACAGGTCGAGAAACGCCCACCCTCCAACCCCCTACATAGTGCCGTGTTCATCTTCACTGTTTTTTCCTGTGATTGACCGAGAACTTCCAACAGGTCACCACACACACACACGTATATTATATATACAATACACATCTGAATCTAAAGCACATTGAACAAGATAAACCCATGCGGATGCACAACACAAGAGCCACGGGTTCCTTGAGTCCACCAACATGCAGTCCACAAACAGCGGCAAACCAAACATGATGAGTGACTGCTGCCACACTTTTTGGCCCTTTTTCCGCCCAGTGTGACGCCCTCACGTACACCAAGGGAACCTCCGCGTTGACAGGTCCTGTGAACCTGCCAAGGACCTTTTAACATCAAATCCTTAAGATCCGAATGCCCGGGCACTCAAGCAGAAGCCATTGTGCCGCGGACAGGTTGAAGCAAGACTGGAGGCAGCAGTGCTGAATGGAACGAAGGCTTTGGATATCTTTGGATGACGCTTGAATTCCAAAAGGCTCCATTGGCCTGGCAATGGCTGGGAATGTGGTTTTCCCCGCCCCAGTGAAGGGGGCAGTTCACTGATATGACCTTTCCTTGTCGCTAGCCTCTAGTCCTGGCTTGTGGCGCCCAAAGGAAGCGCGCAAAAAAGACCCCGATGGAACTCATCTGAGCCTAATGGGCGACACGCCGCATTTTGGGGAGGCACACAAGTGCACATGCCAATTTCTGGTGGTTTTGTGAGTTGTTTCCGTGTGACCGCTGGCGGTCTTTTCGCGTCAAAAGAGGCTGCAGTCGTTCACAATCCGAACTTGGTACACTTTAGATATGTGCACCTTTCTTCAAACAACTTGGTACACTTCTCATGTACCTGGAACATCAAAAAGCTTGGTGTTTTTCCCACCGGCACTCCCCCTTCACCGGTACGGTGAACATCGGTGTGGGATCTTCGTGCCCTTCCGAAAATTCCCTCCCTTTCGGGAGTCAGCTCAAGCCTCTACATGTCACGTGTTCGTGACGAAAAGGGTGTATCCCGTCCACCCGTAGGGCAGGTGGGTGGATCGTCTGCCCTCCCTCCAGTCACAAATCACGGTCTTCTTCTGTCCCACGGCTGCCCAAGCAATCGTCAGCCGCCACTGGCTCCAGGTTTCCTCCCAGAGTTGATCACCTGTGAAGTCATACTTCTGGCGTCTGGAGTTCGGGTGTTCTCGAATGACCACCCTCTTCCCTTCCGCATTGGTCCACACTCCCAGCCAAGTGTCCTTCCTGGTGTTCTGGTGCGGCATGTTCTTCACCACCTGCTTCACACCTCCTGACAGGAACTCATTCTGGAAGGATGGCAGCCTGAGGAACTCCTCCATGGTGGTCCTCTCGCTGATTTCCCAAGATCCCAGCTGTAGCCCTTCGGGTGTTCCTCCCATCAGCAGCTCAAATGTCCGGCGATCGTGGTTCCCTGCTATCGGTCCAGACGACGAAGCTGCGGTGTTTTCCTTCGGTACGATCACTTCCTCAAACACTTCCTCTTCCAGTGCCTGTTTCTCCCTTCGTTCTGGTAGATGTCCCTGTCCATCAGCTCTGGGTCGTGGATCTCCCGGCAGGTGGATCGTCTCCTGAGGTGGTCTGCCCCGATCGACGCCAACGATCCTCGTACCTTCACTGTCCCTGACCACCCATGTTCCACCATAGTCCGGTCGAGATCCCCTCTTGGCCATGATCCTGTCCCATGCCGCCGGGTTCAACCCCAATGCCGATCTTCTTTCTCTTTCTCTCTCATAGTCATAGGGCTCTCGATGACATAGTTCCGGATCATGCCCTCGTGGCTGACCAGAAGATTCTCCTTGAGCAGGAAATAGTGCTCCTTCCCCCGCACTGGGACTCGCCCTCGGAGGTGTCTGGGTTCCCACTTCCTCTGTGGTGATCTTATTTCGACGTCGTCCTTCTGGCACTTGGAGTGTCCGAATCGATATTCTCTCCACCGGATTTCTAGTACCCAGCTCCTGCCTCTGGTACAGAGGATCGTCAGGTTCGGCCCAAGGATAAAGTTCCTCATGCGCTGAGTATCCAAATCCCCTGGTGCCCCGGGCGGTGTCCGTGAGTTCATCGACACATTGGACCTCCAATTCCAAGATCCTCTCAATGACCAGCTGGGCCACTCGGTCACCCTTATAGATCCGGAGGTCGACGTCCGAGTGGTTCCTCAGCAAGACCTTCACCTCGCCCCTGAAGTCCCGATCCACCACCCCAGCTCCTGTCTCAATTCCTCTGATGGCCAGCGATGATCTCGGGGCTATCCTCCCATAGCTGCCTCGAGGGAGCTCCAGTGCAATGCCGGTCTTCACGAGAACACTGTCTCCAGGGGGCACCATCGTCTCGATGATCGAGTACAGGTCGAGGCCAGCCGCCTGTTCTGAACCCCTGGTTGGAATGACTGCTTCCGGTGACAGTAACTTCACCTTCAACTCTTCCTTCTGCCTCATCCACCTTCGGATTCCCGCCGTTCCAATCCGGAAGACGATGTCCCCGATGATGGCTATCGCTGCCGTGATCAGCACTAGGATCCACCATTCGCTGCTTCCGGCACTCTCTCTCACTTCTGTAGCCTCTGCGCAGCGGACCATGCTCGCAGCGGCGATCAGCAAGCCCAATCCTCTAGTGAAGTTGGGGTCAGGTCTTCCACCTCCCAACTCCATTTTCTTCACCTCAACCTTCTCCGGAATCTCCATCTTTTCAATCCCGAGAATCCTCTTGAAGTTCTTGAGGACCTGCCCATTGAGCTGCTTCGTCATCCCATCCGCCACCAGCTCTGCTCCAGCAACATGCCTCAAAGTTACCTCTCTCGATCTTAGGGCTTCGGTCAGTCCCGCAGCTCTGATTCTCAGGTGCCTGGTACGCCACGAGGATGTAGTTCCTGCCGCTATCGCGATCGCTGCAGTGGAGTCCGAGTGCAGCTTCAGAGTGGCCTTCGTTCCCAGCACCGCCTCTACCAGAGCTCCAATCGACCTCACCGTCACCAGACTCTCCAGCAGGGACATCAACTCAGCCTCTGCTGTGGACAATGTGATGAATGCCTGGCGGGATGTATGCCAAGCCACCGGGGTGCCTCCGATGCATGCCACGATACCTGTCAGACTCTTCAGCTCTGACGAGGCATATGATGCGTCCGAGTAGACCTCGACTGTCGAGAGGATCTCATCCTTCTTCTCCATGCCGTTTCCGCTGATGAGGAGCCCTTCATCCCTGGTCTCTCTCAGATAGGCCCTCACCTGCTTTCCAATGGCGATCACCCCCTTCGGCCTCTTAGACGCCCACTGGCACATGAGGTTCACCGCGAGACAGATGTCTGGCCTCGTCCTCCCTGCGACCCACAGCAACTCTCCGGTCTCCTTCTGAGCCTGTGCCACCTCCTCTGGGGTCGGTGACTCGTCCTTCTCCGGGGTCTTCACCAGACCGAGTGCCGCCCTGCCCGACTCCTCGTAGTCCTGGAAGAGGCTCTCCAGATACGCTCTCTGGTGGATGAAGAAATCTCCCTCCTTCTTTTCCATCTCCATGCCCAGGAATCGAACTGGTTCACCCCCTTCTCTGACCCACGCCGGTTCCCCGATCTTCCAGATCTCTCGAACCCTCCCATAGAAGCCCATGATCACTGACTCCTCACCGGCCACGATGATGTCGTCGACGTAGGTTGCGAACATTCCGGCCATCTCCCAGCCGTTCTGCTCTTGTCCTTTCCGTTGGATCAGCCACATGTCATCCTGCTGTGTCTTCTCCACCCTGAAGTCCACTCCCGACGACTGCCATCGAACATCTCGAAGTCGGCCGTCCCGGTGAAGTACCCAATCCTTCGGCGATGTGACCAGTCCGTACAGTGCCTTTCGGACTAGCCACACTTCTTCAGGGTGTCGGAGGACCTTCGCATCTCTGAATATGCGAGGTGGTTCCACAATGACCAGCCCCCTGTCTACTGAGTCATCAACAGGTGCGTTCAGGAAGGCCGTTTTGACGTCCAGTGTTGACACACTCCATGCCTGGATGGCCGCAGTCTTGAGGAGAAATCGCACTTCACAGCTCCCAGCTCCCGAGGCATAGGTGCTCTCCGTGGTGGTCTTCCCAACATAGTTTCCACAGGCCACTCCACGGCATTTATGTCGTCCTGATCCCGCCTTTCTGCTGAAGATGGCCTTGGCCGGCACCATGTCAAAGTCCCGCCCCACTTCATCGGCCTCTCTCTTCAACTCACCCATCTGCTTTCGGCTGATTGGCTCCACTGCCTCCGATTCCTCCACCAGGGATCCATACTCCTCCTTCATCGAGGGCGTCCACTCTTCGAGGTTCCTTCTGACCTCTGAGAGTCCCACCATCCTCGTTTGTAAGAAGACCGGGTGTTCCTCCATCTCATTCTCGATGTTGATGAGGTCCTTCTTCTCCTCGATCTTTCCTGCCTGAACTGCCTCTTCGGTGATCTCCTCCACCTCCACAGTCAAGGCTTTCAGGAACCTCTCATTGGCGATCTCTCCCGAGTCCTCCTCAATCAATTTGAGCTCCTGTGAGAGTAGCTGCGCCCCACGATGTTGTAGCTCCCCCCAGTCCGGTGCCCAGTGCTCCCTGCTCTGGACTTGGCACTGCTTGACTGCACCTCGAACTCGGCCAGGTCGCTTTCTCGGCTGTGGTTGATCCTCTCTTTCATCAACCTCGTGGAGGAATCCACCCTCTGTGACTCCCAGTCTTGATCTCCTGGACGAAGTAGCCTGGAGTCGTCAACGACATCGTGACAGCCGGGCATAATACCCTCACCTGAGTCCTCGTGGTGGAGAGGTACTTCTGCCTGTCACTGTACAGCTTCCTTTTCGCCCAAACCAGCTGTCCGAACGGAGTCAATTCTCTCCGTTTCAGCCCCATGGATTCCAGCTGCCTTCTCATCTTACATTCTGACCAATGTCGAGCAGCATGGCACCAATAGCTTTCGTCCAAGCCGGCCGCGATCAGGAGCGTCCTTGCACCTCTTTTCACTTGTGCTACTGCGCACTCCGCTCTTCCGTTTCCTCGGAAGTTGTCGGCATCGGTGAAGGTGCGCATCACGTTCCGCTCCCGGCACCACCGGTCGAAGGCTCGGGATTGGTACTCACCTGCACGATCCGAGTGGAGCCGTAGAATCGGAAGGCCCAGAAACCTCAGCCTCGCATGGAAGCGGCTGATCGCCTCCACCACTGCTTGGGCACCTCGGTTCTCCAAGATCTCAGCCATCGTGACCTGCTTGACCGTAAAGTCCGTCTCCTTCTCGATCTTCTCAAGCCACGCTTCCTCATCCCCATCCCCCGGCCACGAACCCATCGACTTCTCCACCTCTTCCTCCCCGACCGTGGTGATCTCTGGTCCATCCCCAATGGCTCCAGGGAGTTCATCATCCTCATTGATGGGAATCAAGGTCTGTCCATCCTTGGACACCGGAACCAGGTAAACGCCGATTAGGAGATACCTGCCTCGACCGAGTTGATCATCAGCCTCCTGAAAAGGTCCAGCTGTGTCGATTGACAGCGTATACGAGTCAGGGTGTGGGATCCGCTTGTGAGCACGTCCACGAGAGGCAGCGACGACACAGGACCTGCATTCTCTGGAGTATGGTATATGCCCGTTGAGGAGATGTTTTTTCCAAGCCTCAAGGTCCATTCTCTTGACCATGGCTTCCGGGTTTTGGAGTGTCTCCCGGATCCCTGCAGCCAGCGCTGCCTTGAGGCCGGGCGCCCAGGTGGACCATTCACGGCTCTGCTTGATGCGCTCCGCCAAGTCCTCCGCCAGCGCCGTCCCGCCGCCCACTCCAGGTCCTCGGATGTCCTGGAGTTCCACCAACCTCGGGATGTTCGTTCCCAGTCGTGTAGGTTTCCTTCGCTGGTGTCCCATCGGACCTTGGTCGAAACAGACCTCCATCATGTTCCAGCGCTCCTTGAAGCTCCTCCACTCTGGCCAACTCCAGTAGGATGCGTAGCGCTGCAACTTCTTCTCCTCCTCCCTGATGTACTCTTCCGGATCTTCCGGCTGCTCCAGTGCAGAGAGCGTCACTCTGTCCTTCCTCGCCGTTGCAGCTCGATGGTACAGATAGAGCTGTCTGAGGTAGAGGGTCGCGTCGTCCTCAACCTGCTTCTTGAGGTACCTGTCCAGCTGAGGTAGTCCGAACCTGTGTGGTCCTTCTCTCTCTCTCAGTGGTGGCGGTCCCGGCTGTCGGTATCGAAGCCGACTCATCGTCCGACATGGTGGGCCTCCCAGCAGCGTACACAAACTCCCGCTGTCTGCAATGTCCAGCAAGTAGGCGAAGACGTCGTCCCTCAAGAGGTTCAGACCTGGGTGAATCACCGTGTCCACGCAAATCACCACCCGGTTCTCCGCCTCCAGCTCCTTCTGCCAGAACTGCTTCGAGTCCCCGCTGAACAGATGGATCACCACCTCTTTGGCTTTACGAACTCTCCTCCGCTCGTGACGATTCCATGGCAGCCCCTCTCCTGTCCACCCCTTTTTGGGCAGCAACCGTTCCACCAGATGGTGAGGGACCTCCGGAAAGAGGTTCTTCAGCTCCTCCAAGTGTCTCGCCTCATCATCGCTCACCTCAAGCCCCACGTTCTCTCCAGACAAGAAGGCTAGTCGAGCTCGTTCACGAACCATGCTCCGCTCGATTTCTTGGATGAGCTCCATCGCCAGATCCTCACTGATCGTCGGGCACGAGTTCTCCACCCTTGTGTCCAGGGTGATGCCAGCCGGGTCCGTCAGCTCAAAGCGCGTTTTCTCCCAGACTGCCTCGTAGCCCAAGGAAATCAGCACCCCCAACGGCACTATCACCTGGACTTCATCCTTGGTCAAGAGAGTCTTCGTCCAAGGGAGCAACCGTAGCACTGCTGTTCCTGCCGCGAGCTCCACATTGACTTCCTGAGCCCTCGACCACTCTTCCTCACTCACTGCTTTCCTCAAGCAGTGTGTTGCTCCTCCGTCTAGGAGAGCTCGTCCTCCTTCTCGAACTTCAAGCTCAACCTGATGGCCTTGATCGATGCAGCTGGTCTCAAACTCTTCAGAAGCGTTGTCGCCTCGTTCAAGAGGTCCTTGACTTCGCCTGATGCGCCAGCTCCTCGATCCCCTTCATTGGGTGCCGTTTGGTCACCAGCCTCGCTCCCCCCAGTCTTCACCGTGGGTTCTACCGTCTCGGTCTTCACGGACGGTTGGACATTCTTCTCCTTCATCATCTTCACTGCTGGCTTCTCTGGCGTTGTCCCCTTCTGCTTCGTCACTGGGCAATCCTTTTTCGCATGCCCCTGAGCTGAGCAGCCAAAGCACCGTCCTTTCTTGTCGATGTTGGCCCAATCGTGCTTGAACTTGCAGTCCTGTCCCCTCCGGCACCCCTCCTCCGAGCCCCAGAAACGACACACCTTTTCAGCGTTGTCGTTCTTCCCCTTGTAGGTTGAACTCTTGTCGACCTTCTCCTCCAGGGCCGTGGCCAATGCCTTGACCTTCACCGTAGGGGCTGTCTTCATCACCTCCTCGCAAGGTCCGGTCTCCCCGAATGCGATGGTCTCCGCCTCCGCCAGCAACGAATCAGCGAATCCCAACACCGAAGCCAACGTGGGAGTCACATCCACCCCAAGAGCGGCCCTTGTTGAACTCACCCTGAATGCCGCCTGACTCGAAGCTCTCACAACCGGCGTCGACATCCTGTCCACTGCTCCCAACAGCAGTGTGGCGTCGGGCGTAGTGATGTCCAACTCCTGCGCCCTCCTCAGGCTCCGTCTCCACCCTCTCAAGGTCTCCAACAGCTCCTGAACACTTCCTGGGGTCTTCGGGTCCACCAATGACCTTAGTAGTCTGGATCTCTCAGCCAGGCCGCCAGGTTGGTATCGCCGAAAGAGAGCGAACATCACCTCTGTGGAGCTCGTAGTCCTGCTTGCCAGGATCTCGGCCCTTACTCCGGCCGGTACTGCGTTCAGCAGCATCAGTTGGCCTCGTTGTTCAAGTCGAGACCACCCGCCAGGTCGACCGAGAGCGCTCGAGGTCGGACATAGAGTTTCTGAACCGGCTCAGCCTTCAGCCACTCTTGATAGGCCTCCATCGCAGACCTCATCACTTCGTCCCACCACATCCAGCTATTCGTTGAGAGGTCCTTCATCGTCGGGGTAACCAGCTGAATCCAATCTCCCAAGATCAGACTTCCCAAATCACCCTCCTTGAGATCCGTGAGCGTCGGGAGATCCACCATCCTGATGTTCTCTCCCATCCAAGGCGACCCATCATTCGTGCCTTGACCCAGTTGCCTCAGCACCGTGTGTGCCGCCTGTTCCAAAGGCGAGCTCGCCTGATGCGCCCGGCTCTGGATCCCTTCTGGTAGATGGACTTCTCCCTGATCTCCTTGGCGTTGATCTCCCGGAAATAGGCCCTTTCCATACGCCTCCCAGGATCCCGGTACTTGAGGTACTCCCGAGCGACCATCTCGTCCAGGCCATAGTGCCCAGTTCTCACCCCTCGGACCTGGAGTCATAGGCGCCGCCCCGATTGGGAACTCCGGCATCCTTCCCAAGTCAACCCATGCTTGACTCTCAAAGCTCTGTTCCGGTGTTTTCGGTGGCGGACCTTTTGGAGGTGAAGGTGGTGGAGTGCTCGTAGGTGGTTTCGGTCTCGAATCCTTCACCTCCTTACTCTCCCTGGACTCCACCCTTTTCTTCAACTCCTGAAGCTCCTTCTTCAAGGATGCATTCTGAGTGAGGACGGCCCTGAGCACCTCCTGCACATCCACGAAGGTCCCCTGGCCGCCGTCTTCAGGCTCCACCCGGCCGGCCGCACCAGACTCCTCCGTAGGTCCCAGTGATGCCGGTCTCATCGCTCTCAAGAGGGCCTCGCTCTGCATCCTTTCTGACCAGAAAGGATTTACCTGGACCAGTGCTTGTCCAGAACCCTGTCCCTTTCCATCCTTGCCGAGCCTCCTCGCAGGTCCGTAGGAGACTGGCGGTCCCGATGCCGATGTCCCCGTCCGGATGGCCACCGCATCCTTGGCGTCCTCGAGGGCGAGCTGCTCGGTCTCTTCCTCAGCGCTCTGCATCCCTCCTCCGCTGCCATCCGGAGTGCCGGACGAGCCGCCACCGCGCGACGCCGACATGGGGACCAGCACTGCCGTGTCCACGTGACACCAGCAGGTGGACTTACGCCCGGAAAAAAGTCGTTGGGCTCATAACCCGTGTGACCGCTGGCGGTCTTTTCGCGTCAAAAGAGGCTGCAGTCGTTCACAATCCGAACTTGGTACACTTTAGATATGTGCACCTTTCTTCAAACAACTTGGTACACTTCTCATGTACCTGGAACATCAAAAAGCTTGGTGTTTTTCCCACCGGCAGTTTCGATCCCACCTGAGCACTTGAAAGTTTCACTGGGCTGCTAAGACGTACAGCTTGCATGGCTTCGTGGCAGTGCATTGCTGTCTCTGCTATGGTTCCCTGGCGGAGGACAGGTTACATCGCTCAGAGCCTCAGGCAGCGTAAACAAAACCCGAGACCCTGGCCAACTCGGTGAAAAAACTGGCCTTTTGTGAAAAGAATCAACGACTAGTAAATGAATATGCTTGCTAGCACTACAGTTATATTATACATAATATATTCCAAAGCTGGCCCTACGCTTAACACGTGCCCGTTTTGGGGTGCAGGACATGGTGCGAAAGGTGGTGCGGGGTCAGGGTCAAAAATTTGCTGACCTGGTGCGCGGTCAGAGTCAAAAAATTAGCTGATTTGGTGCGCGGCCGGGGGTAAAAGTTTGTAAAGTTGGTGCGTGGCAAGGGTCAAAAGTTCCCGAATTTGGTGTACGGCCAAGATCAGAAATCAGCTAAAATGGTGCGCGGCCAGGGTTGGACATTAGGCTGAACATGAGACAAAGAGTTTTAATTCACAAAGTAAGGATTGCAAGTGTCTTTGTTCCTGGTTCCATCAGACAATGATACTTGACATACCAAAAAATGTTTTTTGTTTAAGGGCCCGGGGTATGGGAAAGCTGAGAGGCGACTAGACGGGGAGCTGACCCGGCACTAGCAGGTCGGTAGAGGTCGGTAGCAAGTCGGTATAGGAGGTCGGTAGCGGGTCGGTGGCAGGTCGGTAGGTAGGAGGTCGGTAGGAAGTCGGTAGCAGGTCGGTAGCAGGTCGGTGGTAGCAGGTCGGTAGCAG